GGATAATATATATATATAATGTTCAAAAAGACATAATTAGTATGAAGAGATGTTATAAAGGAAAAATGTAAATAAAATATAATGGGTATGAAATGATATCCAAATGAAAATACAAATTGGTGTATTAACAGCTTTTAAGGTGTCACCATAAGGATTATAAAAGATATATGATCAATGAGCACCTTGGTGAAATACATATATAGTACTTTCACATGTAATGTACACTGGGCAAATAAAGAATAAAGGGGGATAATATACAAAATGATAAGTATGATAGGTATAATATGAATATTTTTCATGATGGTATGAAAGAATTATGGTTGAACTGAGAATGGCTTAACTAATCCTTATAAATAACAAAATTAAATTCTTTATTCAGTATTTATAAAATACTGTTGTATAATTGTAATATCATTGCAGTATTATGGCTCATTAAGTAATTACTTAACGTGTGTTTATTTCACGCTTAGGTAAAGGAAATGATTAGTTGCGTAAGGAGTGTGGCTGTTACAGCAGCTTTCATCAATTAAAGGTTGACTCACCAGTAACATTATGACAATCTTATTCATTTTGAGAACTTAGTTGGCATGTAATTAAACTATAGTAAATATTTTGTAATGTACTAAACTGATAGTTTTATTATGTTGCCTTTATAAACATCATATTTTGTAGTTGATCAAATTGAAACAATTTTTACGGGTTTTCAAATGAAAAAAGTTTTATAACGTGATGTAACCTCTGTATCTTATGTACAGAAAGGTATACGGGATATGGTTGTTACACATCTTCTTGTCGGTTGTGTTGGAAATCGGTAGAATCTCTTCAGGGATCGTCTCAAGGCGGTTAAACCTTCTAATAAGTCAAGCTCTGATACCAATTGTTAGGTTTTATGAAGCTCGATTGACAACTGAAATATGTCAATAGGGGTGAATTGATAAATTGTGTTTAGGGAGTAAGGAGAAAGAAAGTATAGACAATTTGACACAATGATTTATAGTGGTTCAACTCTCTCAATGAAGTTTATATCCACTACATAAGCTCATCACTTAGAATTTTCCAACAAATCCACTCATTTGTTCTTTCTTTTTCAAGGATCAAGAGTAACTTTTACAACTCCCCATCTTTTCAATTGACTAAGATATAACTAATCCCCTTTAACAAAAGGTAAAAAGAAGTAAACAAGAAAACCTCTTAAAGGTAGGGTGTTTACAAATTAAAGCTCACTAAACACTAATATTTACAAGAGAAAGGAAAATAAGATTTAAAAACTCTTCTCTTGTTTGAATGCTTGGATAGGTGTTCTAGCCCTTCTTCAAGTGTCCTCAACTTGTATTTATATGTTGAAATGTGTTTGTAGTCATTTCTAGCTGTTGGGAGTGTTTTGGAGCCGTTAGGATATTTTTCTCAGTAAAATAAAACTCCCAAAATAGAGGGTATCGGTACTCCTACAGGAGTATTAGTACTACCTTTTTTATTTTAAATCAATTAGTTGTTACTAGCCGTTGGTGTAACATCCTCTATACCAGGTTAGTGACTAAATTGTAAAGTTACAAAATCTGGTGATTAAAGTAGAATAACTTATTAGTTCAATGACTTATATGAAAATGTTGTGTAGGATCAAATTTCAAAGAATGGAGAATGAAAGGACAATATGGTCCTTTTGTTAGTAAATAATTAAATTGATTAGATATATATGGAGGCCACGTGTATGAGAGGAAGCAAATATCCAAGCTTCCAGACAACTCTTCTCCTCCTTTCTTCTTTGTGCGTATGAGCCAAGGTAAAGGTAAGAATTCTTATTAGTTGTTTATTAGTTGAGATTTAAGTTTGGTTTTGATCATTAAATGCTAATTAAGCTTAAAGAAAGTTTAATTTGCTTTAAAACAACAAGATGAAAGGTGTAGGAAGAATTAAAGGTTATGAGTTATTGAATGAAATTTTGAAATAAAGTTCATAATGAGATTTGGAAGTTGAATTTGACCTGTCACCAACTTGATTAAGGGATATGAAGTGTTAGAATTAGATTTAGAACCTGTTGGAATTTGAGTGAGATTCTTGAATTTTATATGGAGGATTGGATTTTTAAGTTTTAGAGGTATTGAAAGGATAATAATTAGTTTAAGTAGGCGTATGCAAGTTAGAAACATAAAATGAGGTGAAATAGGAAGTGTTGAGAGGATTATGAAGGGATTTTCGTGCTCAAAATCACACTTCTAGGTTATGTGCATCGATGCATCTTCAATGTATATCGATGCACTCTCAAATAAATGAACATTGAATGTAATTAGTGCATCGATACATAAGGAGTGCATCGATGCACCCCCTTAAAATACAAACATCGAATGTGATTTGTGTACCGATGCACACGTTAAGGAATGCATCGATACACTATAAAGTGCATCGATGCAAATCTTTATTAAAAGATAAAAATAGCTTTCTTTTTATCCTAAAGAGTGATAGTTTAGAATATATCAATTAGTATAATGATATGTATCATTGTATTACTATGTAGATATAGAACATAATCTTGTTATTGAACAATCGAATGATTAGAATCAAGTCAAGCAATGCTAAGGTGAGTGCATATCTCATATGAAATTGTATTGAGATACGACTTGCGATGAGTCTATCTATTATAGTTAAACTTATGACTTCACATTCATGTACATGCATATTTATATATGTATCAATACTATAGTGCTTTTATGCATAATTCATTCATGCTTTAATATGAATCTATTTGAATGAATGTAATTATATGAGAATCCATTCAGGTATGGCAAACATGAAAATGATCAGGTGTACTCATATGAAGTGAATTATGTATTTATGTGAAAAGTGATAGAAGAGATGAAAATGAGAATTGTATTATAATTAAGCCCATGTTACTTAATGTGAGAGCTGTAGGTATAATTGGCATGCCAAGAGTCGAGGGATTATCAGTGGTCCTTCGGGAAAAATATTCAGTGCCCCTAGTGGGATTTTATTCGAGCTGTGGTGACAACATTGTGCACAACCTCAGTGTACTCGCGTACCTTCTGTTCTCGATAACGTATATGGGCGATGCAAAGATAAATTAAATTGAAACTAGCAAAAGAATACAAGTTTTACAGATGTGCGTATTATCATCATATATGTGATAGTGTAATAGATACATGCAAGTTGAAATGTCATGATCAATGATAAGAATGTATGTTCATGAATTCATTGTTATATATATGTATATATATATTTATGTTATGCCTCACTAAGTCTGTGACCTAGCGTGTAAGTGATTTACACGTAGGTACTAAGAATCGGGAAGAAAAAAAATAGGAGTGGCAAGAACAGCAACATTGCTAGAAGATCATATCAGAAGTAACTGATAAAGTATGTATTTTGTTGTGTATAGTATGTTGGCATGTAAGAAGAGTGTCAGTTGTGAATGCTCTGATCGATTTTGGTTATTTTGGTCAATTTATGTAAATAAATTACCTTTATTTTAATGAAAGATTTAAATTTTCCTTGAGTTTTATCAAGAGTCAAAGTTTAAAAAGTCAATGTGACACCTCAGACTCGTATTGGGTCAGGTACGGGTTGGGAGTGTTACAGTTGGGGCCTGCCAGTATCTATATTATGTTTATGGTATCGATACTACTATATAAGGTAGTATCGGTACCCCTTAGGGTATTGATACCTATTTTGCATTCTGAAATTTGAGCAAGCTAGTAGTATCGATAATACCTAGATAGTATCGATATTTCTCTTACGTTTGGTATCGGTACCACATGAACAATATCGGTACTACTAGTGCAGAAAAACGTTTTTGCTCAATTCCTTATTTAATAGACTTTGAATTATTTTTGAAAATATTAAATAAATTTAATTAAGTCCAAAAACATTTTTCCTTTAAATTGTTATATCAAAATCTTATGAAACATGATTCAACATAACTTTTAAAAGTTACTCGTTTAAGAAAAAACTTTTAATAGTTAGGGAACTCAATAAAATATCTCTCTATAATCAGGGATCATTTGTATACTTTACATTTAATAATTTGAATCGTTTTCTATTTTTTGTTTAGTCTTTAATTTTTTATTAAATATTTAGTGTTTAATTTTTATGTTGATCCAAATTATTCTTTGAATTCCAAATTATAATTTAGTCTCTTACTTTTTTTTCATTTTAGTTTGATGATACAACAGTCTAATATTGTGTTAAAAGTTGTTTTATCTATTCTTTTTATACATATTAGAAGAAAAAAATTGAATACTTAGATTCTTTAAAAATTTAAAATAAAAGATAATATATATTTAAGTATACATAAATTTATGTTTTTCCGATAATGGACAATCATATAAATTGAATTAAAATTTAGTCGACACAATATAGTATAGTTATAATTATTATATTAATTAATTACTAGTGTAGTATGTCCATTTAAAATTTTACATAAATTATTGTGTCAAAAATTTTTTACATAAATTATATTTTTTAATATTTTGAGATATATACAAAATAATATTTATTTATAATATTTTTTAATAATTGATAATATATTTATCTGATTGAAATCAAAACTTCTAAAAAAATAACAATTCATTTGATCATTAAAACTATTAAAATTAATTGATGAGTTAATATAAATTACATCACATTAATAATAATAATATACGTAAAGTATGTAACAATTACATTGTAACATCACATAAGTAAGATTTTATATTTGAATTTTTGTGTGTATAGGAAACTTTTGTTGAGAGATTCACGTATTAAAATTAGATATATGTCATAATTACATTGTAACATGACATAAACAATATCTTAGATTCAAGTTTTTGTGTATGTAATAAATTCTTATTAAGAGATTGACCTATTAAAATTAGATATGCGATCTGAATCGATCTAGAAGAGGAAACATTGTAGCCTCACAAAACAAAATTACAATTACATTGTAGTAAAAGCAAACCAATTACAATCTTGAGGTTTCTTATAAAATATTACATAAAAGGGGGGAAAACAGTTCAGGCAAAAGCAACTTACCTATCTTGGAAGCCACCGTCCACGGCGAGGTCATGGCCAGTAATCAACTCCGAGTCATCACTTGCGAGAAACAGCACCGCATCGGCCACATTTCCAGCTCTCAACACAGCTCCTTTTAGAATCCTTCCCGCCTCGTAGATTTCCTCAACCTCCTCCACACTTTTCTCATGCGCCTGGCACGTCATCGGCGTCGCCACCCCGTTTGGCGACACGCAGTTCACCCTTATACCATGAACCCCAAGCTGCTTACTCGTCGATCGAACTAATCCCAACACCGCGTGCTTCGACATCGCATAATCCGTCCGCCGCAAGGCTCCACGGCTGGCCGCCACACTCGCCGTGCACACTATGCTTCCTCTCACCCCGCTATCCACCATCGCACGCGCCGCGTGTTTTACACATGCAACCGTGCCGCGGAGGTTGATCGCCATCAGCCGATCAAACTGTTGGAAATCAAGGTCAAGAACGGTCTGATCTGATTTACTAAGAATCCCGGCATTGCTAAACATGATATCAAGCTGACCGTAATTTTCGACGGTAGATTGGACCAGTGCTTTCACCTGATCCTCGTCGGTAACGTCACAGCGCATGTAAGTACAGTTTTGAGAACCGATCGATGTGGCTACTTGTTGGCCTAGATGGTCTTGGATATCGGCGATGATGATCATACGGGCACCGTGAGCGACGAACAGGCGTGCCGTGGCTTCGCCGATGCCGCTTGCACCGCCGGTGACAATGGCTACTTTCCCAGCTAATTTCTTTTTGGTTAAGCTTGTCATCTTAGACACAAGGAAATTAATCGGCGGTAAGTTAACTATCCGAATAATTTATGGATAGGTCACCCTCACCTTTTTGAGACCCACTCTAAAGCTTCTTCTTTTCTGTTGATAGAGTCATAAAGGTCAAATGGAAAAGCTGGTGCATCGCAACTAATAGGTTATATTTAATTTATTTATTAATAATTAAAATATAAAAATAACATACCAACGAATCCATTGACTCAAATCGTACATAGCTTAATATCGCTTAAATTTATTTAGAGTTCAAGTATTTATATATGTAGAAAATTACTGTTAAGAGACTCACTACTAAAATCATGCATGTGATATGAGTCGGTTTATAAATCAAGATAAAACCTTACAAACCGAAATAACAATAAAAATATAAAAAAAATACTCTTTTAATAAATTTAAAACTTTGTTTTATTATTGATACGGAGTTATAGGGATATGTACGAGGGGCTACTTAATGTTTGGAATCGGGCGATGAGGGATATTATCGTAGAAACAGATAGTAAGAATATATTTTTTTACTCATTTAGGGTGAGCCTTTAGAAGGTATTTCTCCTATGGTTCTCCATAACATCATCTGAGATTAAACTTGACAATTATTTGATAAACTAACTAAATGATGAACCTATAGCTCGTTGAATAAACGCATAAATATCATGCATGCCCTTCAATTCTAGCCTTAGTCTCACCTCACAGTGGTCCCTTCGAGGGATGAATTATCAAGAGAAGGGCACCTACTAATGATCTTTTGTATATGTTATTGGGACAATGGAGAAACAGTTGCAGGTTTTTAGCAGATGATATTATTATATGCTTAGTTTAATAACCCACAATGGCCCCTTGGTTTACAATCGACTTCAGACAATGCCATTTTCATTATCAGATACACAAAGGACATGGCGACAGATAAGCTTGCAAACAAGTGCTAAACCTAACTTTGCCAAAAACTATATAGGACAATCTAGTGGGATTTTCACTATCTAATTTAGACAATATACCAGAACTGAAGTCGTATAACTTAAAGATTTCCCTTTAACAACAGGATTTCAATATGAAGAATTACCCAGATAAGCATTAAACACAAGTGATTCCCGGAAGCAAAACATCATTTCTCATATATTTAGGCTAAGGTCACACTAGCAATCAAATATGTGCAGGAGATGAATATTGAGCTTTTGTATCAGGTCAAGACTTCTCTGTTGGAGAAAAGTCAAAGAAAATGTCTAGCAGCCGACGGCACATTCAACATGGGGCGACTGAAAAAACAATAAATGGGCAGCTATTTTTGAAATGGAAATGAGAATATTGCAACTTTAATCACTGCATTTTTTAGGGTATTTACAAGATTAGTTCCTAAGCTTCAACTATAAATACCCTAGCTCATTTAACTTCAAAATTATCCCCAAATCATTCTAGCTCTCTCTCAAATATTTTTGTAAACACCTGTAAATTTTCTCCCTTTAGTAAAAGATCTGCAACAATCCGGAGACGTAGGCATAATTGGTTGAACTCCGTTATTAATTTCGGGTATTATTTGTTCGCTTTTATTTCACATTTTCACTAATCTGGTTATAGATAAATTACTCGTTACTTGGTTATTTAAATAACTGGTATCAGAGCATTTAGTTGTGACTTTTGTCAATTTTTCTACGAGGTTACTATTTACCTGAATAGTAAAATTTGGTCTGCGATACGAGTTTGTCGACGGAGGTGTTCTAATACACGGTGATTCGCAGAAATTGTCAAAACGATCCAAACGAAGCCAGATTCTAGTGGGAGCGATGGCTGCAGACGAAGGGAATGTGAAAATTGATAAGTTTGTTGGTGCGCTCAAGACCTTCTTGGAAGGACTTAGACCAAGGGCACTGCTCGGGAGAGAGGAAGGTGATGCCCAGAGACTTTCAGAAGCCATAACTGTAGCCGGAAAGCTGACTGAACTTGCAGGTGTCAAGCCAAGTAGCGATGTGTTGTCCAGACCCATGCCCAGAGATAGTGGCAATAGTGGTGGAGACCGAGAAAATGTGCAGCATGGAGATGGTAGAGAAAACTCTTCGAATGGCCAAGGTAAGCCATCGATTATTTGTAGCCAAGGAAAGCCATCGAGAAAGAATGGCAAGGCTAAGTCCGGTGTAAAGAAGAATGGGAGCAAGGAAAAATTGAAGTGCTACTTCTGTGATGGTCCTCATTTGATTAGAGGATGTCCCGAGAAGCGTCGCCTTACAACCATCATGAAGAGGATGGAAGAAGGAGAAGTAGCGGGAATTGGTGCGGTCGCAAGTATTAAAGCTACCAAGCCAGGGAAAAGACTTGGTCCGATTGAGGGGATCAATGCGGCCAAGCAATGATCAAGACGAGGCAAGGCTGTTGATGTTGAAGCAGCCGAACCCGGAATAAAATGTGACGAGACTGCGGGTGTCAAAGTAGTCGAGCACAAGAATGGACCCGGTGCGATAGTAAGAGATAAAACCATCAAGCTGAGGGTGCAAAGTGAACAGGTTCGTTCACAGTATGCCAGGATGAAGGCGTGGTCCAAGTTGAGGTGTCTCAGGCATAAAGGGACACTTAAGGAGTATGTGAGCCGATTTAGAAAACTCATGCTCAAAGTCCCAAGTTTGACTGAAGAATATGGGTTCTTCACCTTCATGTTCGGATTGAAGCCATGGGCGAAGAAAGTGTTGAAGCGAAGGAAAGTCAATGAGCTGTCTAAAGCCTTGACAACCGCTATTCCATCAAAGAATTTGGAGTCAAGAAGAACAAGACCTCCAAAGCAAAGCCGAAAGCCGAGGGTAGCGGCAAGAGATTCCGTAATGAAGGCAAGTCAGAGGATGAGGAATGTTATTCCTCGAGTGGCAGAGAAAATTCACTCAATGATGAACCAGATGGTGAGTCTGGGGAAAATGTGTGCAGTCTTGGCACAAGTTCGAGTGTTAAAGATGCTAAGCCGAGGGTAAGAGTCGAGCAAACGAGAGGGCGCAGACTTAAGATGCCAGAATTGTTGCAAGATTACCCGATGGGAGCCAAGTCATCCAAGGTGTTGGATGATCCCAAGATCGAGTTGTCCAGAGAAGATGACGAACCCAGGATCGAGGGGGCGTTCAGAGTTGGCTCAATACGGTTCATTTATGCCAAGGCGAGTAGAAGCCAAGTGCAAGAAGAGTTGTCTTTGTCCAAGGAGTTTGTTGAGCATGTTCGTGTAGAGAACATGGCTTTAGAGACCATCATAAGAGAAGGGTCGAAGCAAGGGCTTGCCAAGGATGTTCAAGTGAGGAACAATCCTTCAAAGACTAGTAGACAAGAGTCGAAGGCGGTCAAGACGTTGAGGGACAAGGCAACCACGAAGAAATTGCCCAATAACAAGTGGGTTTACAGGGCGGTGACTACAGACAAACTGAAGTTGTGTTCAGCTTCAGTTGGCATGATAGAGTAATAAGACCAGAAATACTGCTACATTGATCGAGGTGTGAAGACAGATTAAAATCAGTCTTCAAGTGAGAGATTATTAGAGAAAAGTCAAAGGAAATGTCTAGCAGCCGGTGGCTTAGACATTCAACATGGGGCGGCTGGAAAAACAATAAATGGGCAGCTATTTTTGAAATGGAAATGGGAATATTGCAACTTTAGTCATTGCATTTTTTAGGGTATTTACAAGATTAGTTCCTAAGCTTCAACTATAAATACCCTAGCTCATTTAGCTTCAAAATTATCCTCAAATCATTCTAGCTCTCTCTCAAGGGTTTTTGTAAACACCTGTAAATTTTCTCCCTTTAGTAAAAGATCTGCAGTAGTCCGGAGACGTAGGCATAATTGGCTGAACTTCGTTATCAATTTTGGGTATTATTTTTTCGTTTTTATTTCGCATTTTCACTAATTTGGTTATAGGGAAATTACTCGTTACTCGGTTATTTCCCAACATTCTCCATTATCGATTCTCCTTAATGGTAAAGTGATTTTTTCCACATTTTCGGTAAATGGATTCAAGTATCGTTGTGTACATGAAACTCGTGACTCGAGAGTCTTGACTCAGTCACTGGACTACCGATAATTAGAAATTAATCAAAACAAAAAATTCTCTACAATTGCATAAACTCCATAAAATCTTACGTATTCGTAACTCATTTTTGGTCCAAACAATGTTCTTGTTTCCCCACTCAATTAAAGTTCCAACCATATTGAAAAATAAAAACACAAACAAAGTTAGTATTAGTATGATTTCAAAGTATAACATTAACATATCTGAGAAAGAAAAAGAGAAACGTAGAAATTGAGGGCCTTAATAGGGGTACAAAGGAGGTGAGACAGAGAATCATGATCGGAGTTTTATCTTTGTTGGGGAAGGCGGAACTGGTCGAGGTTGAGACGCCAAGACGACGACTTTCCCTCTTGGTGAGGAAGAAGCTCAGTGTTATATTCGTCGACGTTAATGCCACCCTCGTTGTACTCCATTGTTGCCTTGCTTGTATTACTACCCTCTCCATTCCCAGGTGGTCTATTCTTCCTTGGTGCACATATCCGAGAGCATTCCTCTCTGATTAGAGCTTGCATTACGGGGCAAGGAATTAGGAAATTTCCTTGCAACTCCTTTGATCCCATATTTTTTTCTTCTTTTCGTCTTTATATAATTAGACAGATATTCCTTATTACCATAAATATAATTAGATTATAAAGTATAGATAAACACATGGTTTATATAAGATGCATATACAATTTTTATCAAGTTATATTAAAAATTTATAGATGTAGAACCTAGTTTTCTTTCAATATTTTGGTTGTTGTCTTCTTTTTCTTTGATCTTTATTTAACCGGCGGTGGCACCAATCTTAATGTTAGTTGCCGATTTTCAGGAATATTAGTTCTCTTATTTTTTTTTATATTATGTTGTTTGCCTTAATACTAGGGTAGATTGGGCTCAACTCAGTAAAGGCCCACGTTTAGACTTGTCGCAAGGGGCGGGTCGGTCGACTGATTACTCTGGTACATATACACATCACTACCAAGCAATTTCAACACTCAAAAATAGGTTATATTCATCGGAATTTAAAACAAAGGGTCGGAATGCTTACCCCGACAGTGGATGACAGCTTGGGTCGGGTTTTGGTCGGAATTGCCTAAGGAACACAGTGCTGGAGGCAGTGAGGTAACCCGACATCGGAATCGGCAGGAATCGACGGAAAACCAGCAATGGCCGGTTGGTTTTCGCGACGAGACTTCGCGATGAAATTAACGACGAACGACGTCGTCCCACGGCGGAATGGTGGTCGAGCTTTGGTCGTCGATCGACGGCGAGCACGAGGATGCAGTGGCGGGCTAACCGGCGGGGAAGAATTAGGGATTAGGTTTTCCAATTTGGGGATTTTGGGGTAATAGAGTTTTAACTAACCATGAAAATTGAGAAAAATCAGAGTTAAGTCCCTAAACTTCCTACAAGCTCCAAAACCAAGCAGTAAACTTTTAAAAATTTGCAATTTGATCCTCAACTTTCTTTTAATTAAATTTTTGGATGTTACAGCCACAAATATTGTTCATTTGAAATACTGATAAACGGGGTTGATATCATCATATGGGACAATGGTTTTTGAAGTGTTCTCTTTCTAATTGGCAAGAATGCTTTTTTATTCTGTTTTATCTTGGTGGGCTGTAATAGAATCAATCATTTGATGCTCCCACGCACTCTTTTTCTTTTTTGAAGACATTGGTAGCGGTTGCTTCCCCATTGAACTAAAAATACCAACTTTCTTAACGAATTTTAAATAACTTTCTCATTTGTCTATCATTATGTTCCTATGCTAATTCCATCTGATTTTGGTCATTAAGAAAGTTAACTTTCCTAATTTTTATGTCGCCTTAATGTACCCATTGGTTCTCTTGAAATTTTAACTACCTTTTACCCCTTCAATGATTCTTATGTTTACTTACATATAAACTTGTGTGCTTTCAAACATGATAAATTTTGTTTCTAGCTGTATAACAATCAATTTTATATAGTTCTTTTTTTATAAATTGCATCCAACTCCTTGTGGCATTCTTCTACAAACGCCTCACCTTCACAAACATATTAACTCTATGCTTGTTCGCTCTAGCCACCTTGTAATATAAATATTTTCTGTACTTTCTTTTCTAAAACTTGAACTTCTTTAGATTGATTAGGAATCCTACTTATAATCTAGTATTATACATCCCTTTTTCAATTTAAACTATTTTCCGTGCCTATTGTAAGTACCCTGGGTGTGGTATATCCGTTTATTTTTGTTCATTTTTTGTTGGAAAAACTAGATTAAATATATTCTATTGTTATGAAGACCTCACTATGTATGCTTCTTAAAAACAAAGCTTTGCAACATCTTATAAAAGCCCATATGATCCTAAAGTTTTCAAGATACCCTTTACTCCTCATTACAATTTTTAAGATCTATATGGATCATTTCCCTATTGTTATTGTAATGTATATTTTCTGTTATGTTCCTTTCTAAAACTTGAACTTTTCATATTATCTGTTTCCATAAATTCCTTCTCAATTTAATGTACTTTTTGTAGCTATTGTGAATACCATGGCTGTGGTATTTTCCCTTATCTTGTTTATTAGTTGAAAAACTAGATTAAACATATTCTGTAGTTTGAAATAATGCATTGGTGATGCTCTCACTTTCAGTTCTATTATTCATGAATTTTACTCATTCTTTATTTAATTGCAGTGAAAAAGCTGCTCTTCAATCTTTGAAGGCCAGTGATTGGCATCTTGAAGGAGCTTTTGATTTTTTTCTACAGCCAGCCACAAAGTAAAAGTTATCGTGATACTAGACATATGGAAGAGCTTTATAACAGATATAAAGGCAAGTGTTGTTTCTTTAATCTTTTTTTCTCTCTCTTCCCAATTTGCACTTTGTACACTCTATATGCCTTTCTTTAGTGCCATTAAAAAATATATAATACTATAAATGAGCGGTTAGAGGTTTGCCATGTTTTTGGTTATGTTTTAGTCCTGTCGATACAAGATTAACTGAGAATACTCTTGTTTATTGGAGAGATTGATATATTATTATTTCGGTTTTGTGAAATCCATGAAGTCACTATCCGCTACTTTTCATTTATTAATACCTTGGATGTATTTATTACCCTGCATGATTCCTTTCATAAGAACACTTAAATGTTTTATTCAGATCCCTACACAGATATGATACTGGCTGATGGTATTACTTTTCTATGCAATGACATTCAGGTAGCCTTTTTTTATCAATTAAGCTTACCCATTTGCTTTGCTTTTTCTATTATTTCGTATATAGATAAAATTATGTTTATTTCAAAATTTTGATGATGTGGGAACCTTTTCCCCGACAGGTGGATCCTCAAGATATTGTTATGGTATGTCTGCATCCCAAAGCACAATCATTTGCGATAAAATGCATTCGTATGAAGGAAAACAATATTATGTTTCTGCATGTATATTATCTGCTTTAGCTTACTTTTTGTCAAGGTTCCAAAGTGTTAACAAAAGGTCTTGGAATTTGGCAGAGGTTTTTGGCTACTTCTATCTCTTTGCCACTTATCTTTTACACTGCGTGTGTGTGTTGACCGCATCAAAATTTACATATATAGTTGTAGTAGTTTTAACAGATTGTGATTAAATTATTTATAAATTATCTTTTCAAGTACTGGGTTTAACTTAAATGGATTGCTGTTTAGAGTTTGTGAGAGCAATGTCCTAGCTTTAACGAAAGCTAATGAGGTAGAAGAGTTGTAGGGTTCTGAACTTTCACTCAGCACTTCTGGCTAGCTCAGATTTTCAATCTCTTATGGTAATGACTGATGAAAATGACTATAGGTTTTGAGCACTTGAGAATATATGTTGTACTAAAACTAGAAAGATATCATCAAAATAGTACACCTTGTAGGAGGTTTGACAAGATGCCAATTTATATTTACAAATTGTTCCTATCTGATTCCAATATTTTGTAAATAGTTACAACCTTGTAGGAGGTTTGACAAGATGCCAATTTATATTTACAAATTGTTCCTATCTGATTCCAATATTTTGTGGACAGCTGTGCTAATAATGCAGTAAATTGCAGTTAGTTCTTTCATGGCACATGAAGGCTTCTATCATGTGTGAATTTTCCGAAACAAGAGTTCTTCACTGGGTTGCAGGCACTAGGGTAAGTATTTATTTTTTTTTTTCTGTTTTTCACAATCTTCAAATTTGAAATGTTATTGTTGGACATTTGACCTACTTTGAAGATAATGCTGAAACAAATACTTCTTCATGGCAGGATAGATTAAAAAGTGCATTGCCCTGATAATAATACGTACTTGAGCTGTATACAAGCACTAATATTTTATTGTCTGTCTTAGGGTCAGAAATCTTTGGCATTGGCTACTGCAATTGGTATGTGGCAGTTGTCTTTGGTACGTGGTCTCAACTTTTGGAGTTTACTAAGGTAAGTTATAAAATCTTCAATATCACTCTCTTAGATAGTCCTGTTTGCATATACATCTGAATCAGCTTTATTTTGTCATCAACATCAAATCATTAGAAAAGTTAGTGCTAGTGCCTGACCATGTTGCACCAACTTCGTTGTGTCATGCATGGCTCCGTTACTCAAGATCGAATACCCCCATATCGCATGAGACTCAAGTTGTGTGTTATTATACATTGGTCAATATTCTAAAGCTACAATATGGGGATAATGCTAAAACCGTTAGTGAGACTTAGATGCATTTGACCTTCTGAAGTACATATGGAATGTTTATGTTTGGGATGCAAGAGATGCTTGTCTTCCACAGAATGCCTTTTTCGGATAGTCGAAACTGCATGTAAGTGAACAATATGTGTACTAAGTGCATGGGCTGTTCTTTTAATGCCATATTGTGATGCAGACAATAGACCCTTTGCTATCAAATTACGATGCTGAAGGCGCATGGCCGTATCTCATAGATGAATTTGTGGAATACTTGAACGAGAACGGCATCATTTCAAATGCCCAATCGGTGACTGATCGGAGCCAAAAACGATGAAAGTTGCTGCATGGTTTGTGTTGGTATGTCGTTGGTCTTTCTGAAAAATAAGATGCCCAACTCTTGTGGTTTTTATATGAACTTCGATTGACAAATTATACCCATTTTTACTATAAACAATCTAATTACTAGTATAAGTTGATTCAGGCACTTACAAACAGTTTTAAATTGATTATAAACAATCTAATTACGCAAATATGTAATCCAATTGTATAACTTCTGAACATAAAAATAAAGTAAATATAAAGCACAAAATTTCATCTGAATTAAGGTTTCAATGCTGGACAATCCAGTGTGGATGAACACCAAACATGTAGTGCACATTTTTTCATTGGAATTCAGGAGTTCAACATAATCAAACTTAACACACCCTACATTGTTTTTCAAAATCGAAATACAAGGATTCGCAGACGCCGTTCCAACACAGAAATTGATTCGACAAAACCTCCAACAACACCTCTCCTAAAATTTCTCAGATGGAAACTGCAATCCTTCCGGCTACTTGGTCGAGATCACGCTGACCATTCGATGTGATTTTCCTTCCACTGATACACCATATAGGCTTTAGTTAATCTTATTAAGCAAAAAGAAGCAGTTGACACACAATGACAAACTATGGATACCTATCAATGGGCTTGAGAGTGGATGTTCGATACAAGCATGCCGACATCGACAATTTCAATGTATTCAAAGGATAATATCACTCCAACATGTCCAAATACAGGCCAGACATTGTGCACAATTTGGTAAAATTGATGTCTCATTTACATTAGGTGTTAGGGATGACCAACTATCATAACACAAAAATATGATTGATTGCAGTAACAAAAACAATGGTAGTAGATAAAACTCACCCTTTAGGATCGATATCAATGATATTCACATTCTGCAATTGCTGAAGAATGTGGCGCGCAACGGATCCACTGCTCTTGCAGAAATGGCGTGGGCGACTCCCGTTCCTCTTAGCCCCTCCATAAATCCTCCTAAAGGCACCAACACCAAGACCTCCCCTCAAGTATATCTTCCTTGCCATTGAAGGTACAAAGCAACATGATACAGCGTTCATATAAAATGTGCATACAATGCCGCATTAGCGTTGGCCAATAAAGCTAGCTATAAATCTACATACCGGCTCTAATATAGTACCAATCAGGATCGTAGGGAGGAAGCTCCTTTAGTTTACCAGTCTTGACAATGTCCGTCCACGGAGGGAGCTCGATCTTAAGAACAAACAAAAATTTGAAAGAAAAAAGTTTAATCTTAAGGAAAAACAAACAAAGATGCATTGCAGATCCAGAATCAAAGACTATGAAACGAACTTGATTACGTCTCTAACTGGATAAGTGTGTGGAAAAAAATACCTTGCCGGAACGCTTGAGATGGGCGGCGTAAGCTTTGACGAAGTCATGAGGGGAAACGTCTTTAACAGTTCTAGCTGCCTCCATTATCTCTGTTTATTTGTCTGTGCTACGGCGGAGATCGCCTCTTGCTAAGGCCGGAGAGGTTAGAACACAATATATAAGTTTTCAAGGGGACTAGGGTTTTATGCTATATTTATATAATTTATATATATTGCTTGTGTTCCCTGAATTACCTGAATAACCCTTTCATTTCTCTTCTGTCTATGGCTTGGGCTGGACCTGATCGCAGTTCAGTTTAAGTATTTTTTTAAAGGTAAATTATATCATAGGTCACCGAACTATATCAATCATTAAACTTTTATAAATTTTAAAATGATTATTACATTTTATCAAAATATTACGAAATTATTATAAATTTACCAAATTACTATAAAATCAACAGAATTTTATCATAATGTTACAAAATTACTATTAAATATATCAAACTCGTATAGTTTATTATAATGTCTCAATTATCATTTTATAGCAATTCGATAAATTTAATGATCATTAGATTTTATTGAATTGTTAAATATTATTTCAAATTAAGGATCTTTGATTTTTTTTGATTAGTTTAGGTGATCACGAGATGATATCTATTGGAAAGACTCACAACTATTTGATAACAAACCTCTAAGGATAACAATCATGTATTATTTATCGAAGTCGTTTGATTCGTGCTAATCTTCGAATTTTAAATAATGAAAATTTAATAAATAACACTAATGTGAAAAAGGATTCTTATTTTTATTTAGTTTGTATTTTTTAATTATGGGTCATATTTGTTAAATGTATTGTATCTAGGGTGCTTAAAGATAGTAGTATATATTCTAAATAATCTCAATTATTTGAACACTCAAATACCCTGTAATCTGTGCTCGAACCTGAGATCTCTAAGAATAACAACTATTTTTTAACCACTAAAGTAGCTTGGTTTGTGCTTATATTTATAATTCATATAATCAAAATAATTGGATTATAAGGACCATTCTAACATTCAACGGTGGATGTAGTTGAGTGCATGTGTTTAGGAAGAATGATTGTATAATTTTCCTTGGAATTTCAAACAAAAGATGCAACCCAATAATGTTCTTTGACCCCAAAAAAAAAGATAAATCCAAAAGATACTACAACCATGTTTCCACAAATAACAGTATTTAAGGTGCTCGAATTTACGTTGTTTCAAGCACGTATTATGGTATGCTCAACCCTTGCATGGAAAAGCAATCAAAAAACAAAAGCAAACAATTCAATTATTGTGGAATTCATGTCGATAAACCTTTAACAAACTTCTAGCGTGCTCAGCAACATCCCTCCCCAAATAAATTAGTTGTGCGTTGCTAAAACCAGTGAAATGTGTTCTATTAGGTCAGGAACCCGATTGCTGCAATAAAATTTTGAAAACTGTTAGACAAGCTGGTTTGTATTTCGCGTTACGAAATACAGAACAATTATCCGATTATATGCATCAGTCTGGTGTGTCTGTGGCTGCACATGTAACGGCGCACGCATGTAATGAAAGGTTTGGATGTGTGAATGAGAGAGGAAATCGTACCTGTAACCCCACTCGTTGTCATACCATGAAACAATCTTCATGAACGAAGCACTCAGCCCTATTCCAGCTTTTGCGTCAAATATACTTGACCTGGTATAAGACGAACTCATTACGACCTTAAATGCCATCGTCGATTAAGTGGGAAAAAAACACATTTGATTCTATCATGTTCCGATAGCAAAATCTAAATGAAGCAAACATAGAAGCCTTGAAAATATTCAATCCTAGATAAACGAACTTAGCATTGGTTCCGGTATATAAGCAAGCATTATTTCTAGATTGTAATAGGCCTCTACGTCTCGTATTACATCACAACAAAAAGGATATGTGGGACGGATGTGAAGAATAGATAGAAAATGACAAAATACCTCGAATCACCAACAAAATCATTCGAGACAACATCCTCATCCGTGTATCCAAGAATGCCTTTAAGTGGACCCTCTGCAGCAAACCTTTAATAAACAGATAAAAGAATCTAGGTGAATGTGATAAATAATCAAGCAGTTAGCAGAAAACAAAAACCCAAAATGAAATAGAGATATGGACAAGGAGGATACTCCGGCAACAAGTTAGAAAACTCACTTTATGGCTGCTTTGACATCTTCATAAGAGGCACTCTTTTGAAGTCGGCAAGTTAGATCAACAACGGAAACATTGGATGTAGGGACACGGAATGCCATTCCAGTAAGCTTTCCATTGAGTTCTGGAAGAACTTTTCCCACAGCCTAAAAGGAAAATTATAATTGAAGTTTTGTTTCTCAAACACTGTTCTTGAATTATAAATCTGGTCATTTATATTGTCTCATACCTTTTGCAGCGCCAGTTGAACTAGGGATGATATTTTGCCCAGCTCCTCGGCCGCCTCGCCAATCCTTCATAGAAGTTCCATCGACAGTCTTTTGTGTTGCTGGATTTTATAAACTACCATGTTATCATAACAATGCAACATCATGTGTTATCTAATGAATGAGAGGCACATGATAACCGGATACCTGTAGTTGCATGGACAGTTGTCATTAAACCCTCAACAATACCAAATTCCTCATGAACTACCTGCAACATGTTACCACAAAAACAAAGGAAAATTGCCAAAAAGAAAAATATATACCATCCACCTTGAACTTAAAACAGGAAGAGGGAATTGTCTACCCTCAACAAAGGAATAATGTCAAATACAGGCATATGGAATTGTCAACCACCATGGATACAAAACATGCAAAAGCAGATCTTACAAAATAAACACAATTTCCCGTACTTTACCATGTGAATTGTGACCATTAACATTTAACAATGAAAAAATAAAGCTTAAAATCTGAGAAGGCAAGTAGACCTTCGCAAGAGGAGCAAGACAATTGGTAGTGCAACTAGCATTAGACACTATGTCCATGCTTGGCTTGTAGGTCTTCTCATTTACTCCCACCACAAACATAGGCGCATCAGCTGATGGCGCTGAAATTACAACTTTCTTGGCACCACCCTGCAGAACAGATTCACTAAAGTTCAATTTGGAACACTTAACAAAGTGCATGCACTCACAAATGTGCTTGTAATGTGTGTCTATTAAGGTGATCATGCAAAACAGGAAAAAACCAAGGACCTTAGAGAACGAACCTTCAAATGAGCCGAGGCCTTGGCTAATGTTGTAAAAACACCAGATGACTCAACAACAAACTCAGCCCCATAATCACCCCAAGGGATCTCTGCAGGGTCCCTAGTCGATATTGTTTAAATGTTAGCCCAAAGTTGAGATGGTTTAATAGCAAATCATTAATTTTTTAATGAAATCAAATTACATGATTCTATGTTGCAATTTGTAGAGAAGCTAATTCAAATTCCAATTATTCATTAAAATGTAGTTAGAATGATACCTTTTGCTCACAACTTTTATTTGCTTGCCATCAATTTCCAGAGTGGACTCATCCACAACTTTGATGGTTCCCTTAAAGCCTCCATGAGTAGAATCGTATTTAAACATGTAAGCCTGAATTTAAAAAAAATAATAGTAAATTCAACAATTTGTTATGACCAGAAGAATAATAAGGGCAGTTAACCTGGCATGTAACGAACAGAATAGACAAACAAAGAGAACCTTCGGCCAAAACAATAACCACCCATCCAACTCCCCAAGCTACAGAAGCAAAATAAGCATAATGGTAATTATGAGTATTGATAATTTACAGTAGACGTGAAGTTGCTTTCATTGTGACACCAGGAGAAATATCAGAACTCAAAAACAGAAGCCTAAACATTTCAAATGCCATGCAAAGCTTCAGAATGTGCAGAAGTTGAACTAATGTTGCCCCGACTCTTTTTCTTTAGATATTTGTGTCCAGCACATATTCAGACATTATATGAAGATACTAAAATTTTTTTTTACTCATTTTATTATTATTATTAGTATTATTATAATTATTATAATTATAATTATTATTATTATTATTAATATATATAATTTATTAATATTACAAACAGGCCCAGATTGTACCGGCCCAATTACAAGGACCCAAATGGCCCAAATCAGAAACCCTAAAACCCAATTAGGTTTTCTATCCACTGCCGCCGCTCAATTTCAGCCGTTGGATCTGATTTGATCCAACGTCCACAGTTTGCCAGAGGAAACCCTAGGGTATCAACACGTCCCAGCGCCGCCGTATTCCAAAGACCACGCGGCGTTGCTTCAGCCTCGCCGCCACTCCGGCCGCACACCTGTCATCCCAACGTGAGTCACCACTGGGAGTCCGGTGACTCACCGAACTCCACCCTTCGACCGTCCGAGACGAGCGTCGGTGATGGCTATAAAGCTATCACCCCATCTGCGAGCAAAAGGACAGAGAACAGAGAGAGACAGAAAATACACAGAGAGAAAGAAATACAGAGAAATAAATACTAAAAAAAAACTACCAACGATCTCAACAACAACGCAGCAAAGAAACAAAAGAAGAAAAGAAAAAAAAGAAGAGAAACTTACCGAGAAGCCCCGACCACCGATCTCACCAAAACCTTCGAAAAACCGAAGTATATTTCTTAGATTTGCTCCGATCGGAGCCGTTTAGAAGAAAAGTCATCGGAACCGTCATTAGGACGGTCCGATCTATGTT